GGGACAAGAGAAGCACCAGCTTGTAAGCTATTCCCATAATAAAACTTTGACTTTGACATTCCGAATTTCCCACATGGCGCATCGATTCCACAACTGATTCTCCTCTGTCGATTCTATACCAACACTTAAGCAGCATCGAATTCAGTGCTTATCCGCCGCCTATGCTGGCCCGAAGATCACACAACCGATCGGGTTCATTTGTCGATCGGTCGGATAGTGCATCCGCAACAAGGGACCTGGTGCTTACCAAGCTAATCCGAGCGAGGAACCACACCTTATTTACAGCCGTGAGTCTTAGACAGACCGAGTGAATTTCGACAGCAAGCGTGCCTTCACCACACAGATGGACTGGACGTGACGACAAGAGCATGACAAAAAGTACAAGACAATGTGAAACGACGGGGCAATCGCACAATCGTACTATCCACATAGGAGTATGACATCTTAGATTGATACTAGATCTTAAATTGGTGCTGTAATATCTTAAATTGAAAAAGGTATAGAATACTCAATGGTCCACGAAAACCGATGTGATGAATAGCAAACAAAAATGGTGAGATTGATAAACAGGTTCATTTCAGTTTATCTGATCTGTATTAGATCTAGTCAAGCAGAATTTGCGTAGGACCAATTCGATACTCAATAAATGAGCCTTGCCACCCGGACGGGTGAATCTCAGTGACTCATCTATGGACTGGCCAGCGCAAGCACGCAACACAATACATGTCTTAGAGCAATCATAGTGCAAGACAGTGTGCAGAAAATTTGTATTTTCTCCAACAGAACGGAACAAAGATTTGCTCAGTACAACCTCGGTCTACACGTAACCGCCAGAACAGGCAAGTCCTGGACCAGACAAAAAAACAATTTCACCTAGCCACGGCAAATTGCACACCAAATATGAGAAAGAACATCGGGATGTTCGACAGATAGTAAAATGCATCTCATTCATTGATTCAAGCACAACCAAACTTTTCACATCGCTAGCTGATCAGGCAGAATCCGAGGTCGCATTGTTTCGTAGACCGGAGATCTCCCGGTTCTTCGGACTGATGGCGAATGCGAGAAAGACTTTGCAAAACAGCGCTGCACACACACACACACACAACCAGACATGCATGTGTACATAGACAGGGGGATAACATGTGGGGATAATTACACTACTCTTCCCGTCAGATTATGATACAAAATAGGAAGCGGTTTAGTTGCCACCGGTTTGATACGAGCTGTGACCGTTCGGTAGATTCGCACCCAGAGTCCCATTCAAATTGAGCGTTGCCAAACGTGACACTGTTGATGAGATTTCGGACTCGTCATCCCCGATCTGTCCACCAATCGTGCTATTGTGCGAATGCAATAGCCCATTCGGATTGACTGTACCGGGTGTATCACGATTGAGCAGTAACATTGGATCCAGTCGGTTTGCCGGACAACTGAAATAACTATTTGTCAATTCCAGATTGACCGTATCACCTGTTTTAGCCTGGATGTGAGAAAGTGGGCAACCGCAAGATGGTTTACATAAAATTATGAATGTGTGACACACACACACATATAAAGCAAATACTTGACTTGACTTGAAAATGTACATATCTGAATTTGTGTTGAGCATGAGTGATTTTTTTCCAGATACCGTTCCACCGCCGCCCATTTTCCCTATTTCTGTATTTTCCTAGACAGTCTTTCTGTGGCCGCCGTCTCTTTCATGAAAGTTGGCTGTACATTTGTATATTCATTTAAATAGAAAGGAATCGCCTTTTACCTATGTAAATACATAATCCCCCCCCCCGGTATCATATTATTCGCGCTATCCCCTAGGTTAATCAAAAGACTGTCATTCAACACAATGAGAAAAATCAAACAGTTATGGTGATGGTGATATTGGGATTCGAACATACGTCCCTCGAGGCGATAGTTTGCGGGCATAATCACTCGGCCGTCACCGCCTTTGTTATTTTTTTGTTTTTGTTTTACACTGATCTCCATGTCAATCCTTGCACTTTCGATTTGACTGTACGGCAATTCCTCATAGTTGCGTGATAGTAACGGCGGATTTGATTCGGCTACACAGTAAATTTCACTATGTAATCGAATCGAATCCCGCACTGGTGTCATGTAGCAAACAGTCAGATTTAGAATGTTTCCGACCGAGTCATAACCCAGGAGGTTAGTGCTGAGATGAGCGAGTTGCGATACCCGCAACAAGCTTGCAAAGATAAGTTGTGCTATATCGTGTATAAGGAACATGAAAAACGGTTCGATCAGCTGTCCAGAGGTCGAGTGGATAGTGTGCTTGTGTTCTACCTACCCGGGTTCAATAGATTCGCGCACTGTGCTGATGATACCTCGTCAGGTCGAAATGGTTGTCCAGGGCTGCCAAACTTTGCAGTTCACACTTCATTTGCTCTGCGAACGATGGATTTCACTATATAAACCCTCACAGACTTATTGATACACCTTGTTTTCCGTCTGAACCCGTTTTCTATTCCAACC